TTCATGTTTATGTATATACATTTTTATGTCTATGTGTATGTAAATATGTATATGTATATTTATGTAATTGGAGTATGTATATTTATATGTATATGCATATGTATATGTATTTGTATATGTATATGTATATGTACATGTATATGTATATGTTCATGTATGTATATGTATGTATATGTATGTATATATATACGTATGTATTTATGTGTAGATGTATATATGGATGTATAGATGGATGTATTTTCATAGCCTCCTAAATCTTTTTTTTTACGAGGCAATGATATGTTTATATCCGAAAAACCCTAAAACCTTAGAATCGCGAGGTTAAGCGTCAGTTGAGCGTCAGTTGAGCGTCAGTTGAGCGTTCAGTTGAGCGTCAGTTGAGCGTCAGTTGAGCGTCAGTTGAGCGTCAGTTGAGCGTCAGTTGAGCGTCAGACTTAAGAATCGCAGAGTTAACCGTCAGACAAAGTCGGGTTGCATGCGTATTCAAATTTAGCTGTCGTCGCAATTTTAAGACGCAATTTTAAGATGCAATTTTAACGCGTCAGACTTGAGCGTCAGATATTGTGATCGCAGTCTTAACAAACATGTTTGACGCCACTCACTGCGTTGTGCGACGTGTTTTTATTCTACGTTGTAAAATGTCATTGTTTTATAAATATAACAAAATAAAAACATGTAAAATAACAGCTGTTCTTCTGTTGTTGTTGTTTTTTTAACCCCAGTTAAAACAATACGAACGCAACAGCTGTCACAATTGTCATTGTGAATGGAATGCCGAATTGACAGCCCTGTTGTGACTATGTATGTAGTGAGTAGCGAGTAGTGACGGGTGATCCCAGTCACCCAGTCACCCCCCTCTGGCACCTGCCCACCGTCGGGCCCACGACCCCACTCACAATGCCCAACATCATTGACATTCTCTCACTCTCTCTCTGACTCTCTCTACCTACTCTAGCTAGAATAGTAGAGAGTAGAAGAGAGTTGTGACTACTCTTCAGAGTGAGAGTGCTCGTCTGTGTAATGAGTATTGACTATTTACTCTATTTACTCTCTAGAGTCGAGAGAGTCTTATTAATTCCTTAGGCTGGGCTTGCTACTGCATCCCAAGTCCCAGGCCTGGGTACTCATAAATATGGATGCCCTCTCATATATTTCATATTATGTACCAGATGCGCCATAATACATATTTACGTTTTAGCGTGTTGTAGCTCATATTAAATATTTCATATTTCCAATTTTTCACTATACATTCCATATTTTCGTTTTGTCGTCCCTCAGAGCCCTAATATTGGTCTCATATTACCGAACATCGCGATTTTAAACATACTTTTTTTTGGGGGTGTTTTCTGCACTGAAGCAGCCAAATTGAACCGGCTACCATGTATCCACGTACATAGTAGTCGACTTTTAAATCAGTCTGTCCTATATTTTTTGGTCGCATATTTCATAATTTATTTCAGCTTTTTGCCATTTTGCATATTTTCCAAAAAATTCTTCCCAGAGTTTTGACTATACGAGGCTAACCTGTTAGGAGGGAATGAGCATCTAAATAAGCGGGCTGAGCCGCCAAGCCTTCAGCCTCTGAACTTCTGAATCCTGGCCTGTAGGTTGTGGCCCTGAGCCTGAGCCTCTGAGCCTCTGAGCCTCTGTGACCGGCTGAGGTTGAAAACTTGGATTCCTCTGAACGGACCTGACTCATCTGTGTGAGGGCTGAGGCCTGAGGTTGTAAGCTAAAACCTTATAAAGTTTGGCGTCATGTAAATATATATAAAAGTTGACTTTTCAACGTTTAACGGATTTTTTTTATAGCGTTGCAAGGTGTTTTGGTATATTTTGACCTGTATATAGTGTGTTTGTGGCCTAAATAATGTTCGTAAATACCTATTTTAATCCTTTTGGTCTCAATTTTTGATATTTGAATGTGTCGTCAGGATATAAATCTGGTATGTATATGCCTACTGCCTGACCGGAAATTTGGCCCTACTGTAAAGTGTAAATGGGACATTGAAATGGAAGTATAAAATACCATAGCCTTCTAAGTAGACACGTTTGATTTTCAGCGGGTTGCAACTTGCAACGATACGAGGTTTCAGGTTAGGCTGTTTAAAAATAAAATAAAACTGACTATACGGCTATCGGCATACGCCCGTAAATACACACAAGAGAGCATGGCCCTCTGGATTTGAGTCTGCGCTAAATTTACGATGTCGTCGGAAGAAATCTGATTTCTGCTCGGGACCCAAATCCAGAGGGCCATGGAGAGAGGCGTACATTTGTCTAAAAAAGTATGAAAAAAAAAGTGATGGTTGTCGGACACTCCAAAATCCGAGCTGGCTCTGGGCCCTGGGACTGGGCAGACTGTAATTCGCTTTGTACATCCTTTAGTTAAATTCGACATCCATTGTCTGGCTGTTTCAATTAACAATCGATCAAGTAACAACGTGGTTTTTTTACTTTTTTTAATTACAATTTTCGTTTTATACATATTCCTTTGCTCTCACACTCCAGTGTCCAGAGAGACTGATGAGAGAGAGAGAGAGAGGAGAGCCTGAGCCTTGAGCCCCTGGGGCCTAAGGTTCTGAAATCTGAGGTCCTGAGACCTGAGACTGTCCTAAGACCTGTCTCCTGTAAAGGGCTGAGGCCGTTGTGAGGCTTAATACCTGAGCCAGTGAGCCCTCTCAATTCTACTCAAGTATAGACCATAGATACACAGAGGGAGAGAGAGATAGAGGGCTGAGGGCCTGCGGCCTGAGGCCTTAGGGCTGAGACCTGAGAACCTCAGAATGAGAAGAGGGATTTTACATATACATATATTCTTAAAAGAAAGAGATAAAAAATATAATACTGTAGTCTGTACATCTTTGTACATACTATACAGTATTTATATAGCTGTAAATATAGTTTGTTTAAAAAAAATTTAATTAGCGGGGAGTCTGGGACTGGGAGTTAGAAGTTAGGAGCTGGGAGTTGGGAGACAGCGATTACGTCACCAGTCACCACAAGACCACAAGTCCAGAACAAGTACAGGAGTACCTGGCAATCAGTGATAAAATAGGAAGTAAAGAATCATAAAAAAAGAAATACTTAAAAACAGTAAACTGGCAACCGCTGAAATGCACGAAACGCATGCGGCCTCTACCAGAGCCAAGCGAAATTGGCTCATTAATTACTTCAAATGGTTGTTGCGATAGCCGGCTCCGAGAGATGCTCGCAGCTCTCAGGGGTTCAAACTTCAACTCAAAGTCGCTCATTGTTGTCAGCTGTGTTTAAAAATAAATAATTGTTCATTAATCTAGTCATGACTCTCACAGTGACACAGAGTCACAATGTCACAACAAGAGTCAAGAGTTAAGAACTCAAGACCCACAGCTTCACAGGCTCACAGCCTGTGGACACTGGCTCACAGTCACAGCCTGGTGACCCTGGTCAGAGACACAGGGAGTCAGAGACACAGGCCACAACTCACAAATGTGACAAGTGACAACTCGCAATACTGATCTGAATCAGTGAATAAATCGCACACAGTTGTCCGAACAATGACATTAGCCGCAAGTTGCCAGAATGACTCATGCGCCTCGTGCAAATTCAGTACAGGTAAATAATATTTTTTTTTGCCAATTTTGAAAGTCCTGTGTAAATATTTTTTTGCTCGTACAAGAAGCAGCAGTAGGGTTGGCAACTTGGCATACTACATATCATCACGTAGTTGATTACTGTTCGTTTGGTACTAATCTAAATGTGGAAGTCTTTCTATAAATTATGTAATGGCGCCCAACAATATGTCTTTAAAACTGAAATTTCTCAGATGTTTGCCCCTGAAGTCATTTAATCAGTCGTGCAAAATCGACACTGATCCCAAAACTGAAGATACGTTAATCGATACTTTGTCTATTTCGAAGGGTGATAAAAACCACGCGTCCAAGGTCAAGCAGTCAGGCAGACGCTCAAAAGCACTGGCAAAATCATGTAGTTCAATGCTTAACGTCGCAAGCGCATGTGAGCTACATGTACCTGCCCGCAGATCTTCCATTTTCGGTCCGAGACCTGTACGAGACAGCATGTCTACTCCTAGGCTAGCAGAAGTTCTGAGCTTTCGAGAGGACAATTACCCAACAGCGAGAGTTGATTTCGTACGGTATACGCGTGCTCGTGCATGCGAAGAGAACGTATTATTTCTAATGGAGTTCGAAAAATTTCACACACTCGTGGAGCGAACCCGTGGGCAAGATAAGTATCATGAGTTGGTGATGGCCATAGCAGTCAAAATTGTGGACGACTATGTTCACGATCAGGCATTGCACCCCTTGAATATCGATAGCAAATTGAAAACACAAGTACTGGGATACATCCTTGATTGCGATTTGGAAAATATAATCCTTTCTTTGAGCAGCATTGCGAAGGAAATCGTGGCGATTCTCGAATATGGAGTGTGGGAGCAATTTGTTGAGTGGAGGCGTTCTCAGTAACCCAGCAAACACTCTAATCCAAGCTTGTGTCCTGTCAAAATTTTGGCTGAATACATAATGTTTTGATCCATATTAGGGCTGTCGGAACGCCGTACGATGGCTACACTCACGCGCTTCAAAAGTTAAAAGCGAACAATGCTGTCGTTGAGGTTTCACGACCAATAAGCTCCCAGCGAAAGTTTCCTTTTGCGATATTACCAGAGCAAAATTCAGGAGTTGCATTGGGAGCGTATACAAATTTTAAACAGCGTGCACCCCATGACTGAGAATCGCGTATGGTTCACAGTCCCCTTCAAACGCACAACAACACAACCTGCTAAGTAAAGTGCGTACTCATACCGTTGCTGACCTGTTGAAGACTCTTGTGAGATGGACTTGGTCATGTACAGCAGAATGCAGCCATTCGAGATGGACGATTGAATACTACGTAACGCGAAACTTCGGAGCGCATCGCATCTCACGACGAAAGATATTGCACAAATAGAAATCATCATATACATTCATAGCTTGCACTCCATGAGTTGATAGTGATTTCCGTCTATCCTCCAAATACATCCGATGGCCCTGACCACCTGCGCCTCCGCAGGAATGATATGTTGCGATTGTATTCTGATGTCATTCAACACGGATGCGTAATACGAAATAAACCTACAACAATCCCTAGAGACCAAAAGCAATAAAGTGCCTTTGTGGCAAGAACCTTAGAAAAATAATGTGCCGGTTATAAAACAATCATATTTCTGATTCTTCGATTCGACTGATGTACTCAGAACGATCATGTTCTTTGCTAACCGCATTGCACCTATCAGCGTTCAATTATACCCAAAGAACGCTCTCTCCCAATGCTTTGGATAACAACCACATGCACTCTTACTTCTATTGATGATCGATTCATCTCAAGGAACATGAGCCTCATTAAGAGTTAGTATTGACGAGAATATAGTAGCACTTCGAGTCTTTTGCAGGGAGGGGCCGCATCCCCTAGAGAATAATAAATACTACTGAAGACTGAAATCAAGAGCCCTTGCCCCCGCAATCTTCGCATTGGTGCAAAGAAGCACCTCCACTGTAAAGTTAGTATAATTTTTTTTTTGATGTGTTACAGGTTTCCTGTGATATGGCATTGGACTGTATTAAGTTTTATACTCATTTGAAGGATGCATGTTCCTTCCAGAAGTTGACCGACTCTGAATATTTCTCACGTTCAAGCTTCACGCCGCTACCACCCTCGTCGCGTCCAAGTGCATTCCTACGAGAAAGAAAATTAAGCTTTGAGAGCATTATACTAAACCATTTTGATGTAGTATTTAGATATGCTTAATAAAAATCGAGTGCAATTTACATTAAAACATTCAGATGACGCAATTTTTTAAATGCGGCACAGTGCTTGGGTGAGTTTGCAAAATTCGTTGCGAGGCGGCGCGTGTTCTTATTGTTATGGCGGCCATACTACCACCTGGCTATGCTCGATCTCCTAAGTGTAGAGCTACATCATTTGCCCCAGATCACAAGATAATATAAATCGAAGAATTGTACTAGAGCTTCAATCGAGATACCTGAGCATCGTTATAGGCTGCATAGGCAGTTCGTAATCTTTCGTCTGACCCTTCACGGATATAATGCCCCAGGGCGCGCTCATAATCTTACCGGGATTGCCCATGGCCTCGTTCTCCTGTTAGCGTATTATCAAGAGCACGGGAATGGTGTGCTGAGGAGCTGTATCATAGAGTCAGAGCAACTCACCGTCCAAACACATATCAAATAAGAACGCTACACTGTTAGTGGCATTCGGCCAATCCCGATTGCTTTGTCTAGTACTTCATGCATGCATGTGAAATACACCTACAAGTAATGTATGGGAACATCTATTTCAGAAATAATTTCAGCGCCTGTCATTTTGGTTATACAAAGATTGCAGATCGAGAAACATGCCCTCAACTTCTCAAGTAGCCCACCGCGCATCCGAAATATGGCACTACTACAACATCCTACTATACAGAAACATCTGCCCTCTACTAGAGGGCGGCTAAAATGTCAGCCAGAGTCAACCCTTCACCAACAACTACTTCGCCCGGCCAAGCATATAAAATGTGTTCAAACACAATGTGTTATTGATGCGTAAGGGTAGTCAGAAAAACAAAGAGATAGAGACATTTGATATACACACCTTGATGATCTGCTCTTTACTGTAAAGTATAATGTCCAGGTGCGTTGCGTCTGGCGCGGTCACATCCTCGGTTTTGAAAAACCGGACTAGCACTGGAAGCTCCTAGAAAGGAGTAAAGGTAGCGCACAGATTATTGTGCAGATCAAAGAGTCAGGCATCAAGGAACTCTTAGCCACAAAAAGACAGCATAAACGAAGGACTGACTAGGGAGTGATACTCGAGCATGTGTACTCTGTATTGACATATTGAAGAGTACAAAGGTAGCAGGTCCTATACTATCAAAGATTCACACGTAAGCGGAGTGCCAAAGAACAGTGGGTCTAAGGTGCCCGATAAGTACTGCATACTGATTAAAGCACGTTACAAACGACGTACGATCGATCAGTTCTAAATACTGGTGTATTTGCACAACACAGATTGCATCACAACAATTGACACAAAATATACGGAGTAGACGTGGTCGGAAATTGGAATATGGACGGAATATACCTTTTCACTACGAGCCTCATACTCTGTCTGGAGCAGGCTCCGGTTATCGGCTGTAATTCGTGCGTATCCACACTTGACCCCGCAGAAATTTGGTATAAACAAGTGCTTGCAAAACGGTGCATACCTAAACGAAATATAGAAAAACATGCTCATTAGGATATGGTCAACACAAGAGGTATCACCCCAGGAGTGTCACGCCTGAAGAATATACATGTGTAGACATGACTCAGATATTCTCGGCTACTCGTTGAGAAACGGCATGGATCAATTCAGTTTCGATATATGCAATATCAGCCACACAACCTTTCAAAGTGGTTTCCGGCTGGCACAGTGTGCTTAGCGTTACACCAAGGAAGCCAAAGTGTCAAATTTACATACCCATCCTTAAGTGTTGCTTCACCAGATGTGTAAAATTCATTCACCTTGGCTTCAAACTCAGATGGATCGAATTTGATTCGTGTACCGGTATAGTTGGGGTCATCAAATTGGCGCATGGCAAAATCATCTGATATCGATTGAAGCAATGTACTGTGAAACTTCAATCTTACTGTCTTGAACAGCGTCGACTTTTAGGCAATTAGTTGAATATCGATCATATAACTCTTGTAGAGCTCTCATAACATATATACAGCCCAGATACACGCATCATTTCGTCTATAAAGAGTTCCAGCTACGCCAAACTTGTATGCTAAACAAGTATATACAAGCACGCATGACACACTTGAAATTGACATGTATACCACGCCAATTTTTACTTTCAAAATATCCCTCGGGTGCACAGAGAATACATCATAATATTTACCGAACAGCAGGAAAAATATACATATACAAGAAGTAGAAGAGGAGATAGAAAAAGTCAAATAATGCTCCTAATATGTATAGTGGACGTGCGCGTATGATCCATAGTAGTGTTCATACCCTTGGATATTCATCGAGAAAGTCAATTCGGGCGTACGGACGCGAGACAAATCCTCAGGATTGTAATGGAGAAGTGTTTAATTCCGACATACCCATGACGAAGGTGTGGGCAGAGGAACTCATGATTATATTGTGGCCAGTTCGTAGTAACTCTTTCCTGTATGTTGCTAACCTAAGCATCATAGCCGTACATATTATTTACATTTCTCGCCAAGAGGCAGTCTATAAACATCCCAGTACGTACATATGTCATCACTGATCATTGTCATGTATTGATTTTATTTGGCATGATCATTGTCATGTATTTATTTTATTTGGCGAAATTTTGAGGAATATCTATGGACCATCCGCGCCCCGCGTTGTAATCCTCAGCCAATAATATACCGCTTTTTAAGTCGAGTCTACCAAGTACTGGCCAGGCTGCTGACGGCCTGACAGATCGACTGCTGACGGCCTGACAGATCGACTGCTGACGGCCTAAGCGTAGCCTTCTATTTAAATGAACACTGGTCCTGAGTCCTGACTGCTGAATTTGGTTTTCAAATCCATATGTATTTAAAAATAAAACATACGTTCATTATCATTTACTCTATTTTTGAGTGTTTACCGATAACCTTTTGACTGCGAGGCAATGTATACGCCGGTGCCGTTGTTTGAGTTTAATCCTTCACATCGATTCTTGCAATGGGTCTACAAAAATTCCATCCACACAACAGTGATACAGCAGTAAAGCGTTCTGCGCAAATTGTACACCTTAGCATAGCAACTAACAATAGCTCAGTCACAGCATTTCAAATCTCTTCTTTCAATTCGAGAATCAACTACCAGTGCCGTTCCTTAGATCCCACACAGGAATTGTTTCTGTGTTTTAGCTACCATCTAAAGCACTACGCCTTTAAAATGTTGCAAGCATTTCAAGATAAACCCTAAAACTAAAAGCACCTTATCGAGCTTGGATGTCATGGTTGGCAAACTTTACTTTCAAAATTCGTTCTGCAATCATTAATTACACCTCGTCATATGTTCATTTTTTGAGAGTTTATTTATGAATTCAATGTTAAGCTTGAACTCTACCATGTCTCTGTAAGTCAGCTTAGCCATTCTTCAAGTGTATTATCGCAGTTGGATTGTTTAGGCGGAAAAATCTATTAGCTTAACATAAAATGTTAACCGTGGCAGAATACTACACCAGGTTACTTCATATGAAAACCTCAATAGGGTTATAACATATTTATAGGGCTTTGGACTATAACGATATGAATCGACGGCTGTATCTGTTCGGCTGTATTGATTTCTTTCTTCAGGTTATCCTAGCTGGTTAATTCGGCACTGCGATATTATTGCGTGTTCCCATTTCGATGAGTTGGTGCTCCGTGTACTACCCACTGCTGTCCTGCTTCGTATCCGCGCTCAAATAGCTCATCGCCATACGCTTTTAGATCCTCCGGCGGCATCAACATGTTGTAAGCATATCTGAATACAGATCGACCAGCCCAAGTCTCGCGCGGGACCTGTGGAGCGATTTTGATCGGGAAAAAAAGTTAATTGCTTGGATATGGTATACAAAAATGTTCAGATTTGGGACAGAACGGTTCGCATGAATTTGATCGGTACAATATAGTCGCATCTATTTATAACTCGGTCAAACTAAAATTGAAGCAGAACGACAATGAATAGGCACACACGGTGCTACTCTAGCAATATATGCCTCATGATACACTTCCTTATCTTTCCCACGAGTATCATACCTTATTTGGACAGATATCAACCTCACAGCCAATCGCATATTCTGAAGGAAGAACACAGACATGCACACCGTTCAAATTCTTAGGTAGTGATGGAACAATCTTTAGCAGACCTCCATCCACCAGTTTCTCGCCTGCAATATTTGAGAGATGTCGAGTTGAAAGAACGGTTCTACAGTTATATCAATGACACAAGGAGTCGCCTTGTTGCATTTAAGGCATACCCTACGTACATAACTCAACTAGCGAATGAACTTTATGCCACGCAAGTCAAACGAATATAAAAATCGCCAAGGCGGCACACACAAGCCGGTTAACAGGAACATTCACTACGAACGCATGCGTACCTTTATGTTCGTGATACGGGCGTCCCCTGTGAAGATACCCTGGTATGTGGCATGAAGCCAATGCGGCAGAGATCAATTCCTCCTTTGTGCCGAACTGGTCTATAACCAGTGACTCCGACGAAGGATTTGGCCATATACGCAAGACATGTATACCAACAACTCCACTACAACGAATATGAGCATCGTCCGGAAGTTCTGGGAGAGATGGAAAGAGAGAATTATATATCAGAGTACAAAATCAAACGTGCATACACACACACACACACACACACATACACAGACACAGACACAGAAACACACACGTACACAGACACAAACACGCACACACCCGCACACACACATACACACACACACAACACGCACACACACACACACACACACACACACACACACACACACACACATATATATATATAAAATATATATATTGTAATTGGTTGGTGACATGTGTGACACTGAGTCCATGTGACGCGCGACACTGAGTCCACGTGACGTATGACAATGATTCAGCGTGACGTGTGACGCTCAGTCTGCGAGTGGACTTGTGTGCACGATGGTGAGTTTTGGTAAGTGCATAAAATACACAGAACAAGGTGGAAAGATGTAAATTGAAGACTTCCTTTATGTAAGCCAATAGATTGCGTACACAAACTAAGTGACTGTGTATGGATATGAGAATTTAAGTTAACTTAAGATAGACTTAAACATGTAAAGTATATAGATGATGGCAACAGTAACCAGAAGGCAACGGCTGCCATAGGAAACTAACCTGTTGTAGGCATCATAAGGGGGTGGGCTGGCATATATGAGATGATACCATGAAGTGATCAGTCATCATAGTTTCAAGAAACTATTACACTACTTTAATACACAGTAACGATTCCAAGTTGGGATTTGTCGGTTTTGCGCATAGGAAGTACTAACAATATATATATATATATATATATATATATATATATATATATATATATATATATATATATATATATATATATATATATATATATATATATATATATATATATATATATATATCTATACATACATACACATATATATAAAAACAAACTCATACACAGTCGATTCAAGTGCATTCATATAATCGTAGCTATGGCTACTATTGTACAACGTCTATCTACGGTATAGACATATGTGTCGCTTTTCCTAATACGTACATTCGCCAGAAGTGCGAAGTCAGTGCGAGTATCTAAAATGCTTTGGAGACTACAATATTATTCACACACCTCTCATCAACATCTCCCGCAATACTGGGGCTAAATTGCCATATATCCCATTGTTATCGTTACAATAATCGCCCATATGCCTTGCGCTCTCCATCATATGCTTCACGGGCAGTCCGCAGGCAATCCACACAGCTGTGAGGGCTCCACCACTTGCACCGGCCAGATATGGGTAAGCAGGTGTAAATTTGCTCTGATGTTTATGTGAGAACTCGCGCTCACTTACATGCTTGTAGACGTCGGTATTATCAGAATGCACCATCTCCTCCTTACTAATTCTATCTGAGTGCTCGTGCTTGGACAGACCGTGTTGAGTAAAATATCCATACTCTTGCAAGGCATAAACTACACCAAGATGGAATGCCGAAGCCCACCCGGCGCCACTGAAGGAGAATGCATTGTGGTCCAAGCTAGTCTTATGCGCAGGGTGGTGCTGCGCATGTCTGGGAAGTCTTTTAGGATGAGAATGCTCGTGTACGAATGACCGTACCGCCTTTGGCTGTCTTCGCGTCGTCAGTCCTCGGTGCTGTACGTGAAGTAGCGAATGCCGCGGGCGCAAAAGGCGATTGACTAAGGTGCTTGCGCTGAGACTCATCTTCATACGCTTGTTGATGTGTATTGGTTGTGAGGCCAAAGTAGACTAATTTTATTCGCCTGTGGTTGAGCGCAAGCTTCACTTGTGGTATTTTCAGAAGTTACATATATGTATTGTTATTTATATATTTATATATATGTGTCCGCACAGCGCGCTTTGTACTTTTCAGCGGCGTTTCAGTTGGCCACAGCCAATTGCCCGCGAAAAGTCGAACCCCCGCTTGAATTCGTATTTACACCGACAGATAATATATAAATAAATAAATAGTTCAGCTGGCTATAAATATGTATTTCTATTATAGTCTGCCATAATAGACACGCTCAGACACATGGAAGTAAAGCGATTCCAAGCACTCGAGAGTCGAGGGCATGAAAGGCACAACTTCATTTGCATGCATTTTAGATTAGGCGTAGCTTTAATATGTATGATATAAATCCACACTCAGTCTCCATCGCACACACTCGTGTTCACAATTAAATGAAATTCACACGTAAGCGTCAACGAAAATAGCAATTCGAAAACACCAGCCGCCCATCCTGCAACAAAAGTCTTGTATTTGTAGTACAGCCTTCTGAATTACACAGAGAGAAGGCTATGATAATAGAAAATAGTCAAATCAATAAGCTTGATAGGCTTCCGAGTTCTGACGCAACTCTTGGCAGCCGACTAATCGGCAGGGGTTCCAACGTCCACGTAGACGACTGTCCGGTCTTTATCGGACACGGTAAAACACAGCGCGTTACTCTACCGTGTGCGCCCACACCAAACAAGCCTTACGGCACAAGCCATAGATATATTCATGTGAATACATGCGGATACATGTCATGCGTACGGTATAAGTGTGTATGCAAATCTCATCTACGTATTTGTATTTATGGTGTTTAGAAATTCGGAGCTATGAACATGATGTAGTAGCCTTTCTAGGTATGTTTTTAGTATAGTAGCCTAGTTGCCGTCTGATCAACGATAGCTACAATTAATACTACGTGTTTAATGTTCGTTATCTAGCCATTCTAGTTGTGTGCAAGTTATCTGCACTTGATAGCATCTATTGCATACAATAACCCATGTTATTGTTGTCATTGTGATTGCTCTTCGTTCACTACGACAGCTGGAGACGCACACTTCTTTTGCGTCCCTAACGCCGCTTCCTCTGGGCCTGACCCTGGGAGAGATGTTGAAGCTATGCTACAATTTGTTATTTGATTCTACGTTCATCAGGGAGTATCATAGACACTCGGAAGTAGGAAGCCAGGACGGAGCAGGCGGAACTCTTCCGCACAGGGACCGGATGTGCTATGCATAGCGTATTCGCAGTGAGCCTACGAGCTAGCCAAAGGTTATGTCTTTGGGCAGATAGGGCCCGAATTAACTGCATCTCGCCACGAGACGAGCTCAGATGAAACATAGGTCGAAATAAAACCTCATACGCCAACAGAGTTAATGTTCTGCTATCGTATTCCCATCATGCGGGCGCTTATCTCCGTCAGTTTGGGTAAAGCCTTCCGCCGCCCTTCCTTCCAGGCACGTTCTTCCCTTTCTTCGCGCCGTTTCGCAAAGGCACTACGTGTTCTATTTTTATCACCCAGCTCCGCCATCATAGGGTTTACAGCCGTATCGCCCGATGTATTCCTTCTGTCCAACCCTACTGCTTCACTGTGGTCCTCATCGAGCTCGACGATCATGGGCCTACGGACATTCCTACTACCATCTTCGATCTGTGGTTGGCTGGGCTGATTTCTACCTACAGTCGGTGTTATTGTGTCCTTTCCCGTGACTTCACTGTCAATGTCCGACGTGCTCTGTGTGGTAAGCGATTCGCCACCGTCTACCGCATCATCGGCTCGTAGTTCGCTTCTCGTATCAAAATATCTTGGTTTTGCCAAATGGCGACCCTCTGCGGCGCTTGCCAGCCTACTGTGGCCCGCTGAAGTTTGTACTTTCTCTCTACTAGTGCGCGCTGGATTGCTATTTAGATGAACCGTATTTCCTTGTTGAGCTCGATGCTCCCGTAGACCCCCATTCCCCTCTAAACATACCAAGCTTGTTGACCCGTCTTTGAACCGTGCGGCATCCACGCCGGCCACCTCCGACTGTAGTGCCTCTAAGTGGGATCGTTCATCCTTCACCACCTGCGTACACGCTGCAATGTTCTGGCGTCTCGTCGTAGACCCCCCCGCGAGAGGATCGTTAATCCAGGCTAGATAGAACCAGGCTTTGCGCGCGTGGTTGGCATGCTGTCGCTTCCTCGCCTTCCGTTTGCGATCGTCATGGTTGGAGTGTGTTTCTATTGTATATTGGGGATCAGCTACTTCAGAGTCTGCTGATCGATGTTACAGGATTGAATAAAATGGGAATATCAGGATACGTCTGGAAGCGTGACACCCACAGATCAAGTAATATGTGATATAGGGACAGAACAAGGCCCACTCTCTCATATACAAACGGAATGTTATACATGCATTAGAACCATCTTATAATGAGTCATCAAGGAAAAAGGTGTACATAAATGAACACAACGTGCATACGTCACCTCATGCTGGCATACACAAGGACTCGAAACAGATGCAGACTAAGTGTCACTTCACATATTTCTACGCTAAATTGCCCATTAAAACGCTCCACATGCAACACCAGGTACGGGCATAGTCTCAGAGATGGGTACGTACCCTGCGCAGGGTCGTACATCACCAGCCAGAAGTGAAGATCGGCGAGTGCTACCACCAGGCACTCGTGCGAGAGTCTCAACAGTGTCTCCACATCGCCCAATACACGCGCAGCATCCCAGGTTGGAGTCGATCTGCAGGCGAGTCTGTCCGTAGCCCTCTGTAAAAATGACTGCACCGCCTGAGACGCACTCTCATGAACAGCGGAGTCGCTCAACACCGCACACATCTCCAATAAGCACATGTATGCCCTCGTACTGGACAAATCGCCATTGAAGCTTCTCAGTGTGTATACGAGTGCGAGAACCATATCCAGTAGGTTGTACTGAAGTGCGGATGCCTGCGCAAGTTGTGAGTGTTGCGGTCGTTTGCCAATGTGTGTAGCGCTGCCTGGTGCCCTCACCCTCGATGTCGCCGGTCGCGACCGGGAGAGAGCGCAGAATTCCGGTATACAGTCAGGTACGTATATGTTCGGCTCTTCCTGCTCAGGTGTACAAGGGTTGCCATTTGTATATATTACTGCTGAGGTGTGGAGCGGAGCGGTGATGATATGCATCTTATGAAACCATGCCGGAAGCGCATACTCACGACAGAAACGCAAGCCACAACCCCACAGATTAACAATTGGTAATTTGAGGATAGGCATGCCACACGCTTTCAAAAGGTATCAAGAGGTCTTTACACACAGATATGCCCAACATGTGCTCCAAATGCATACTCAACGTCAAGCCGGGTGTGTTGAATGGACAGTTCGTCTAGGCAGAAAAATGGGGTGAGAAATATCACAGTTACACTCACAGGTCTGACTCGGTGCAATGTGTATTGACCGGTACCACAGCGCTAAAACAGAACACGCCACTCAAGTAAACCAGTGGGTTTCTGAGTCAAACAGTGGATATTCAGCACAGCCCAATAATAGGGGTTGGTCACCTACTACGCTCGGGAAGCACAGCGCGGTCGTATTGATGAGGGCGACTTGGCTGTCGCAGCTCGTGTCACTGCTGCGCTGGTTTCGACGCACGCATATGTCACACAGCATCGCACGAGAGATAAGCTCTACACTTCACGTTGAACTGCACACTAACAATACAGCATTACCTAGCAAACGCCACAGGCCCTGCACACTATGAATTCTCCTACCAGACCTACAATGCTGGTGGTTCCAACACACTCCACGGTCATACCATATCCCACCAGGCCACCCACAGCGTCAGCATATTACCCATGCGACCATCTGCTATGCTGGCTTCAAAGTCCTTCTTCTCCTTTGCGGTGAATGATTGCCATATGGCCTCCGCGGCCTCGTCGTCGTCTGCGAATTAATCGAGTGACGCCCATTAGTCTTTCTCCATTTGAGTATGATAGTAACAAACTCATAAGATGCTAAATAACGAAAGGATAATAGCAACCAGACCCATGTGCGGCATAGTATACAAAACAAATAACCGTGACTGGGTGAAAAATTCATTGCGTATAGGAACTTGTGGGTGTGTCTAACAGTACAGCACACCAAATACGTCAAATGTGTATGGGCAACACGATACTTGACGAGTAATAGCAACAGAGAGTGTGTGGAAACTCACCTGTAGAGGACAAACACTACACACGTTTAGAATATCCTCAGGTTGCAAACTTTGTGGTCCTGATGTTGGAGTGGAACAACGCCGTGGCTATTAACATCTGACCAAACGAAACAACACATTTGCTGATGCAACCTTTTTAAAGGCAAGTTAGGAATACGGCGCCAGGAGCCCTTGATCCACAAAGAAACACACCCAAATTTATAGAAAACCCCATGACATCTTCAAAAAGTAGCGAAGAGCAGACAGGGACGCGTCGCTAAACAGTATTGATAGGCATCAGCAACGTCAGGTCAAACAAATATCTCAGCGCCTTTCACAGCGTACAACTCCAACACAGCAACAAAAGAACAGCGCATGTGGGGCAAATCCCGAACCCCAGTCACAGGCAACAACACCATGAGCCCACAATCCTACAATCACGCTCACAAAGAGAGACAGCTCGAAGGTAGTAGGATCATTGTGCGACATAGAGCGAGCTAGTGTAAAACAGTGCCACAACATATGGATATGAATCAGCTCGGAAAACCTGAACACTCACCTAGGTCGATACCCGCGAGCCGCTCCATGATTGCAGTTGCATCATCGTCGCTATCTCCATCCATCGACTCAGTGCCATAGCTAGAATTTACCCCATTCTGATCCGCTAAAATATTCAAATTTGCTATATCCCCATCCTGATTGGTTGGCGTTTGGTGCTGGGCGCGCTCCACCATCGCCAGAATTTCCTCACGCTCGTCTCTGGAGACTTCTCTCCGACCAAGTTCTTCATGCACCTATCATATGGGTATACGACAAGCACGCAGTGCGTAAATTTTTGACGTGAACTAGTGACACATCGTGCGGTTATCCATCGAGAGTATGGATGAGCGGGTAAGCAGTCAGTGTAATACACCAATCCGTACGGTGGATAATCGTGGTTAACGACTAGGGTATTATTATATGACAGTACCTACCTACCCACGCATGTACACACACACTCACACACACACACACACACATATATATATATATATATATATACTACACACACGCACACACGCACACACACACACACACGTGTGTACACATATATATATATACATGTATATATATATATACTTACACATACACACACACACACACACACAC